AAAACAAAGAAAAGATTTCAATGCGGATTTTCCTGAGGAAAACTCCAATCAAAACGCTTCAAAAGCGAAAGCCGGCGCGCCAAATGTACGCGCCTCTTCTTTGAGACGTTTGAGCGCATGGTCGCGGCCCGACGAGTGGTCATTCTTCGTACCGTGACCATCCGGCGAGCGGGCTCGCCGAGGGCGCCTCGCCCGCGGCTCCCGTGACGCCATGGCGCCTTGGCAGGGACAAGAAGCGCCTTCCGGCGTGGCCCGTCGCGCGCGCCGCCTTGCGGCTGCTGAGGTATCACGTGGGCACGGTGGCCAAGGGCTCCTTCATCATCACGCTGGTCAAGATCCCCAGACTGCTGCTCATCTACGTCCACAAGCAGCTCAAAGGAAAGGTAAAGCGGCGGCGGCGCCACCCTGGAGCCCGGCGAGCTCGGCTCACGCACGTGCGCGCTTTGTGTTTCAGGAGAACGCGTGCGCTCGCTGCGCGCTCAAGTCGTGCATCTGCTGCTTGTGGTGTTTGGAGAAGTGCCTCAATTATCTCAACCAGGTGACTCGCTCCGCCTTTCGTCGACTCGGTCGACGGGCGCCGCCCGCTCGGCCAATCTCGGCATGCGGACGTGCTGTCGTCGTCCTCTCTCTGCCTCCCTCGCTCGCCGCGACGATCTTTCATTCGGCGTTCGTTGGAGGGCGTCCGTCGAGGAACGCCGCCGGCTCGTATCCGGGCCCGGCGCGTTTGCGGGAGCGCCGGTCCCGGGCCGAATGAACGCGGGACGGTGCAAAAATGAAGGCCTTGAATGGCGCTGACAAAGTCCCGAGGCGTGAATTCGATGAGAAGACCGAGCTCGCTTGCTGGAGTCTGCGCGGGCGCTCGCGGATCCCGTCCGGGGTCGCGAGCGCGGCGTACGGCCGGCCGGCCGACTCCCGAGGCAGATTGGAGTCAGAAGGTCCTGGCCAAAGAAAAGGTCACGGACGTTCTTTCTGGCTCGTCGCCAATGCGCATCCAAAACACGTTCCCATCTGAACGAGTGCACGACAGCCTGAACTTTCCACTCTGTTCTCGCCCATCGATGCTCGAGCCGAGCGCAGGCTGCGCTCGTGCACATTTGAAGGAGAGCCGGCGACCGCTCTCGGGCGACCGCTCTCGGGCGACCGCTCTCGGGCCTCCCGACGACCACCGAGCCGCGCCTTTTCCATTTGAACTCGACTCCTTTCCCTTCCCAAAATGGCGTGGACTTGACGGACGTGGGATGAAAGCGCAAACTGACGCGTTGCGGCGACCTTCGCGCCGCGCTTTCGGCATCCCGGATGAGATCGCGGGTACCGTCGCGTCCTTTTTCGTAACGGTCGTGGCGACTTTTGCGCGCGGTCGTCATCGCCGGCCGCGGAAAATCCCCAGCGAGCGCCGGCGCTTCTCACGTTGCGCGTGCGGGCCGGCAGAACGCGTACGCGGCCACGGCCGTCAACGGCACGGGCTTCTGCGCGTCGGCGCGAGACGCCTTCGTCCTGCTGGTGGAGAACGCCCTGCGAGCGGCCACCGTCAACGCCGTGGGGGACTTTGTGCTCTTCCTGGGGAAGGTGAGCGCCGGCGGGGGGCGGGGCGGGGCGTCCGGCCGCCGCGGAGCTGAGCTCCGCCTCCTCCTCCCCATCCAGGTGCTGATCGTCACCACCACGGCCTTCGCCGGCGTGGTGCTGCTCAACGCGCGGCGGGATTACGCCGAGTGGCTGCTGCCGCTGGTCCTGGTTTGCCTGTTCGCCTTCCTGGTGGCGCACTGCTTCCTGTCCGTCTTCGAGATGGTGGTGGACGTGCTCTTCCTCTGCTTCGCCATCGACACCAAGTACAACGACGGCACGCCGGGAAAGGAGTTCTTCATGGACAAGGCCCTCATGGTGAGCGCCCCGCCGACGCTGGGGCTCGGGGGGCCGACCCAACCGGGCTTACTTTGACGACCGTATCGGATCCGACAAGGAAGCGGGTTACTTTTTTTCCCAATGACGGCGCGGTGGCAATCCATTTGACCCCCTCGCGATTTCTGTTGTGCTTCTTCAGATCTTCAAAGCGATTTCATGTCACTCGGAGGCAACCTGAGGAAATGCCAAACGCGAAATACCAAATCCATTTCTCAAGGCGCAATAAATCAATCACATCAGGAGGGGGGCAACGACTTTGTCACGGCGCTGTCCGTGATTTGGAAAGGAACTCGGCTAGATTCCGAGCTACGTCGCATTCAGCGGCCGCTTTCGCGACGACTTCCTCTTGGACGCGCGTTTTGAAGTCGGACGTTTTGAGGAAGAACCAAGACGGACTTTCTTGACCCCGCACTCGTTTTGACATCGAACAAAAATGTTGGCAGTGTTGAGGAATTTCGCCTCACCATGAGGACTATGAAACAGCAGCCTCGCCGGACAAATACTTTCTCAGATCCGATCAAATAAAGAACGTCGTTTTGGAACGGGACAAGTCTCACCGTCGGTACCGTTCCGGGGACGGGCATCGCCAAGATTTGAATCGGCGCTACTCGTCTGAACAATATTCCTTTATCGGTCCGCTACCTTAACGTCCTGCTTTTGTTTTGAAAAACGGCAAAACAAAAATACGAGAACTCACACTGCAGTTTTTGTCTTTTTCAAATCAATGGAAATGACTTAAGAGAAATGGAAGGTGCAAAACCCCGCGGAAATCGTTCTCCGGGACTGTTCACGGAATTGGAAAGGGTGCGTATCGCTCCAGCGCGCGCGTTAAAAATTCAGGTGACCAACCTCAAGGTGAGACTGCCAAGGGCAAACAGTCGCCTTTCCAATGCACGTTGTTCATCAATATTACGATTGGGGAAGAAGCTACTCGCTCGCCGACGTTAGCCGTCGGGATGGCGTCATCTTTGTGCGTTCGCGTACTGTGCACGTTGGGATGACTGCGTCCCCCACCCCGCCCAAATCTAAAAAAGCGGTGCCATTGCCGTCGAGGAAGGTGTCCGCCTCGCAGCTTTCCAATGTCGCTTTTCTGCCGGCGCTTGCAGGAGCTGGTGGAGCGCAGCCGGCGCTCGGAGCGGGCGGCCGGCCGGGGCCGCGGCCGAGTCAAGGAGGCGCCGTCGGAGGAGGGGGCGGAGATGAAACCCATGGTGAGTGCCGGAGGGGGGCCGGCGGGC